CGCCAGCTTCCTGATAAATTCTGGAGCAGCTGCGGCGCTCAAAACCCGCTCCTAAGCAAAACCCACACCGGAATCCCAGAAACGCGACGCCAAGGGGGCCACCACCACTGAATCCCTGTTTTTAACCTTTCCCGTTACAGCAGACACGCCCCTGTAAAGAGATACCCCCGGATGTGCCCTTAATCCCTGTTTCTTGGCAGATCCCCCCCACACCCACACACACTCTTGCATGCTTCCAAGGGTTTCACAGGATCCCCCCATTAGATCAGAAGGAGAACGAGCCGTCGAGTCGCAACCGACTCCTGGCGACCCCATCCACGGGGCGTCCCTCGGGGCAAGAGGTGATCAGGGGTGGGTTTTCTGCCCTGGCTGTAGCCCCTAAAACGCACCCCGCTTCCACAGTGCCCAGATGCCTGCAGACAACCTGGGCTCTACCAAACACAAGTGTGATTTTCCGGACTCGACGCGTCCCTCGAACCTCGAGGGGTTTCCACCTCCCCTCCCTCCGCTTCCGCAAGGGGGCTCGCTGGCAAACCACAAAGGGCGGAAACGGAGCTGCACCCCCCCCCCCCTTTCCAAGATGCACCGCTTTCACTACCAAGAAAGGAAGATCCGAAAAACCTTCCCGGCGGGCGAGCGAGCGCGTGCTCAAAACCACCACGCAACTCAAGACAAAACCGGAGTGACTCCTAGATTCTGAGTGCGCGAAGCAAAGTACGGGGCGGGGGGGCACGAAAGAGGGAAGGAGTCGCCCTTACCGGCCAGGCGAACTGGAAATTGATGACGATCCGGCCCATGTCGTGACTCCTGCCCTGGTGCAAACTGCGGCTGGTCAGGTAAAAAGTATTCCCACCGAGAACCGGAGTAGATCCGGAGCCGTAGTTGCAGGCTCCCGTGGGCGTGATCTTGGACTGGTATTCCTTGAGGCAGACCTTCACGTAAGTGTCGCACTCGTTCCGGGTACAGTCCAGGTTCTGCGGGTTCTTCACGCCATCACAACATTCCCCATTCAACAATTCGCCGTTGACATTCTTCACCGAGTTGATCTGCACCTCGAAATAGCCCGAGGCCTCCGAGACCTAAAAATAAAAATTAAAAAAATAATAATCAAAGGGAGCCCGGGCTCATTTACAGGACCGTTTCTTAGGAAGAGGACGCGGGCAGAGGGAAGGGGGGGGGGGATTTGTAAGCAGCCTACGAGAGAGTTTCATGCCCAAAGCCGTTCCCGTAAAGCTATTAAAACTAGAGGAGGCGTGCTATTATTAAAAGCGGATCGCGCCAGTCCGGTAAATAAGTCAATAAAAATGACAAAAGTGCGCCGCAATGCCAGAGGACGGTGACGGGAAAGGCTTTAAGCCGTGCAAGAAATAAAGGGGGGGGGGACGGTTTTCCCAGGTGAAAACTCCACTTTGCAACGAAGAACTAAAACATAAAAGCACTTAAAACGTCCCCCGGGAGAGGGAGGCGGAAGAG